TACACATGAACAGGTTTCTTGTGTGGAAGGACGTTTTTTATTAATTAGAAAATGTTCCGTTATATGTTATTTTCAACGAACTCTATGGCTCAGACTATTCACATTTGTATAAAACAAATGAGCTGCATGCTTCAGATAGTCCATCAAGAATAATTATTGAAACAAAGACGGACCATTTTTCAATGGATTTGAATTTGGTTGCATTTTCATATTTGACATCAAATAATGTCGAAACTTTTGTTCTATTTTTGTTGCTGATTATTCTTGTTCCAAGTTCCAACGTCTAAGTCTGACATCAAAAAACCTTTTTTCGGCCTTTCTCGTTTGTCTTTTTGAATTTTAAAAAAGTCATTGACAATTGACATTGTAATTTTGCCAAATATTCAGGTTTTGGAGATGTGGAACGAGGAAGGTTTGGGGTTAGGGATGAGCTCTTCGTACCCTTTTCTTCAATTTTGGAGAATCAAAGTGGTTAAAAAAAATTCTATTAATGTTTCCGTAAAAGATATCACATTTAAAAAAAAAAATACGATGGTACGAAGATTTATAATAAACTTGAGATACTCTTCTCATTGTCCATTAGTTTTGAGATGAGAAACTTAATGAATATTGATATAGTATAATTGGTATTAGGGCTCAAAATGCTCAAATGAGCATCCCGTAAAAAAAATGAGATCTGACCAAAAATTGATGAGTCAAAAAGAATCATGCATCCTTTTGCAGAATATATTTTCAATTTTGAATTTGTTATATAATGGAAACTAATTATAATAGACATGCTCAAAAGTATATCATTTTTTTTAAAAGTAAATATTTAAATGGTACTCCAATTTAAAAATACTTGCTTTTATCTAAATGGTAATTTTAGTTTTTGAATTTTGTTATTAATCTCTAAATTAGATTTTATGTTAAAAAAATATCTTAATCGCCACTCATGTTACCATCATTGTCCTCTGAGGATGATGCAGTAGCAAAGATATGAGACCTTGTGATATATATCATTACTATAAGGTATTGTGTCTGAGTTTTGTGCTGATCACAGTATTGTTCAATCCAAACAACGATCTCTAATTATAGAGATCCACTCACGTAAGCCACATGACATTGATTTTTTAATCATTTAATAATTTATTTTGAAATATCCAACACTCTAACACTAAGATGATAGGTTAACTATGATATATTTATCCATGCACACATCATCCACCAATCAATTAAATGAATAAAATCACATAAAATTTCTATTAAATGATTTAAAAAATAACTATAAATTTTTTAAATGAAACCTTTGAAAATGTAGATATTAAAATATGATAAACATAAAAATCCAAGAAGTAGAATAAAATTTCTACTAAATATAATAATCATTAGTAAAAGTGAATATCGAGGCAAGGAAGGAAATGTCAGTTTTCTATTCCAATTTCATTTCAAACGGAGATTTTCTACCCAATTTGAACTTTGAAGTGGGTCTGGTAGGATCTGCTTTTTGGATAAATCCAAAACAAAATAAAGTTATGGCTCATTTCTCTTGATTTTAGTGTGGATTTTTTATTCCTAATTTTTGGAACCTTCCTCAGCTAAAGGTGTGTGTAATTTTGTATATATCAATCTCAGCGTACTTAAACATCAACAGTCGATGGTAGTTATAAATTCGAATTTTCAGCTCTCCATTTTATCATGCTTATGTTATCTTCCTTTCTTTATTTGAACTAAGAAAATAAATTACGCACTTATCATAATATTGAAGAGATCAGAGACATTAATGAGAAAGACATAAAGAGAGATACACTTATAATTATTTTTAGTATAATAAATATGGGTGCATACGTGAAGATTTAAATCTCCGACACTAAGGGAATGAGTAAATTAAATATCTTTACCATAGATTAATTTTGAGACATATATTAATTTTTGTTATCGATTATTTTTAAAATGAAGAAGGTGAGTTATAAACAATAAGTTGTGTTTTCTTTTAGTATAATACGTGGGAGGTCGAACTCACAAACTCTTAGTTAGAAATATATGTTAATTACCATTGATCTAGACTCGTTTTGGCTACAATAATAAGTTATGTTTGCTCGGCAACAAAATTAAGGTTAATTATAACTTGATGACCTGAATTAATTATTATATTAATTTATCACGGTTTTCATGTGATTGCAATGTTGGAATGCCATGCTAGAAAAAAAAAAACTCAGCATAATCGTCCCCTATTATGCGACTAAAATGAAATATATGTAATTATTAATTGCTATAAATATATATATATATATATATATATATATATATAAACTGAGAATATATATGAATTATTGGTTTCGGAGGTCTTTATATATATAAACTGGGAAAAGAAATAATCATTGTCTTATATGTTTATTTTACTTTATTTGATATATATAACACATGAGATCTCAAATAAAATATAATTCCACCCCATTACCATACAACACTTTATTGATTGGAAAAACAACTTCATAAATGGTTGTGCTTTTCATGTTTGTGTTTATTATTATTCAATTCCCATTTTAGCGGCGAAAATTCTGATCTTAAACCGTTAGATTATGTTATCTTACATTCATATTATATAATCCTGCCTACAAAATTGCCCATTTAAATATATCTGGTTCAATTTTAAAAGTCTATAATTGCAATTATTTATAGTTTTTTTTAAAATATAACCTTACAAATAGAGATTTAAATCTTTGACGTATGCATAATTTTATTAATTATTCTTACTAACGAAAATTTAAATCTACGACTCATAAAAGAAGAATATAAATACATGTGCAATGTTCTTTTTTTTTCTTTTTTTCTTTTTCCTTTTTGAGTTCAACAATTGAAATGATAAGAATCGAACCATTAACCTTTAAGATAAAATAGGCATTTTATAAACGAATTGTTAATATATTTACAACTACTTAATTAATTATGTAAAAATATTTGGTCATCATGAAAATGGAATAGAATCTTTTAGAAGAAATATTTAGTTTAATGAGTGGTTGATTTTTCCTTACTAACCATATTATGTGAGGAATTAAGTAATGTATTAATATGTGTGTTGCGTTCAGATTAGAGAGCTCTAGGTGTAGGTGTGGGGTTTTCATTACATGGGGGTGATGCAAGTATGTAACCGACGGTCTAATAACAAGGGAAGTGACCTGTGATTGGCTGATTAAACTTTAGGGTATTGAAAATTGAGGCATTGTTTGACCAAAACATCGTACCCCTTGGTGGTACTGTGTGTCCTAAACAGGTTTTGCCTTGTTCGTTTACTTTTACACCTCGGAGGCTTCGAATCAACACCATGCACCACACCTATTAAACTCGCCCACAATTAATATATATACAAGAGAGTATGTGAGTACATATATTATATACACACACATACATCCTTTTTAAGTACCTATTAGATATATTAATGTCACCCTAAACCTAACAAAATTGGTAGAAACATTACTTATTTATCTCTTTAAACATCGAAAGTATATATATATATATATAACAATTAATTTGTTTTTTAATTCAAGGTAAGTGATTTTGGGAAGATATCAAAGTCTTTGTCTTTGTTTCGTCCTCTAAATCTCATCATTTTTTAATTATGACATATTTACTATTTCGTTGAATTAGAATGTTAACTTCTTTCTTTGGTATGTTTCTCATATGCCTCTTTAATGAAGGGGTTGTTTCTCTTTTTTAAAAAGGAAAAAAAAATATACAAAGTTATTCTTTTTTTTAAGTACAACGGTGAGAATCAAATTCACAACCACTTGGTGATAGAAATAAGCTAACTACCACCAAATTGTGCTGGCTTTGACTATAGGAAAGGATTTTTTCTTCCCAAATGGGGAGGGGAATTGCCACTGAAACCAGGGCTGAGAGACTTTCGCCCTTGGAGGTACCTCATAATCTTGTCTTCAATTTATTGTTTGACTGTAGGTTGTTTAACATAATTAACTAATTAATGAATATAATGACATAGGGAGTTGGAATGCTTTCTACCACAAGTTTGTTAAACTCCAAAAAGAAAGTCCCAGTTTTAGAAAAATTGATTTACTTTTCTAATTAAGTTGTTAATAAAAAACATTAAATATTGTGGATAACTAATTTTTTCGATTGAAAATTGAAAAAAAAAAGATTTTTTTTAAAAATAAAAATATGTTATTTTTTAAATTATTATTTATTTATTAACTTTTATTTATAAATTTTGATCTTCTTTTTTTTTTTGCTACATGATCATGACCTCACTTTTTGTGCTTTTCTAAGGATCAACAAAAAATAGATCGTTAATGTTGACAAAAACATTAATTTCATATTTAGAGTTTGGTATTGCTTTTTTTTTTATACAGGTATTACTTTTTTTTAGTACGTTTAGAGTTTGTATTTCGTATATTAAAAGCTCAGCTTTTCATCCACCCATTTGAGCTGTGGACATGCACATTTTCAAGGATAAATTCACATGGTTTCCTTACATATATATTCTCGCACGTATATATATTTATCAAAATGTTTCTAAAATGTATACAAGATGTGTGTGTACACACCTTATAATTAAAAAAAATACACTTATACTATATTTGAAAAAAAAAATGAAATGTTGTAATAACATTTTAAAAATATATATTAAATACTGAAATTCATCTCAAAATAAATTTATATTTTTTTCATGTTTATATAATTGAAATGTGGCCTAATTTGTGGTAGGAGTGAATTTGTTGGATGAGGTAGAGAAAGGAGAAAACGTGAGAAAATTCATAAATAAAATGACGAATAAGATGAGAAAAGAGACCACATAGAAGTTCAAAGGTGAGGCAAACAGCCGATCCAGGCCTAACAATAATTCAATTAATAATGGAACCCCAACCCAAAGCGGAAGAACGTATTCACACGTGCCAAATCAATTTTTATAATCCAGTTCTACTTCTAATAATACATCAAAATAAAACCGAAAGCGTGTACGGCACCACCTATAAATCTCCCCATTCTAGCTCCTTCACTTCATTCTACTGCGAATTGGTAAAACCAAAATTCAAGCCTTTTTGGATCTCCATCTCCTCTACAAACTTCAAGTTTAAGGTGAGACCATCAAATATTTCAGATTTCCAGCTCTCAAATCTAAGAAAAAAAACAGTTTTTTTTTTTCAGTTCTTTTCTGTTTCCTCTTGTGAAAATTTCAGCTAGTACTGAAAAGTTGGATTTTTTTGGTTTGATTTGCAGCTGATCGTGAGAAATTAAACCACCTTCTGAAGAAAGTTGTAATTTTTTTTGTTCCCTCATGGAAATTTCGTCTGCAAAATGGCTATCTGAAATGGTAAAGCTTTATGTTTATGTTTATGTTTTTGCTTCTGCACAGCTGCTAATAATTACAGATTTTTTTAAGAGAAATCTGTGCTTTTGATTTCATCAGGAGTTGGAATCTGCGTTTATGGACGATTTCCAAATGAACCCTTTTGAGTGCACGCTGGAGGAGCTGAGTTTCCAGACTTTCTCCGACGAGAGCTACACCTCCCACGCAGATCTAGACAACTCCTCCGTCAAAACTCCGCCGGCGAAACAGCCGAAGACCGCCGCCAATAACCGTCAAATTGCTTCCATGGCTGCTTCTTCCTCCTCATCGCATATTATTTCCTTTGGAAATTCCCACTCTGCAAAAGTTAACGACAATGGAGTTAATTACAGCAACGTGAAGCCTAAATTTGAGATGGGGTGCGAAGGAAATATCGATTTGTCGTCGGTGATTGCTCAGGGTGGTTCTAATGAGAATCAAAATTACTGCTCACAAAAATATGGGCAGGGAATCAAGAGGGGTGCTGGGTGTTTGAATCGGAGCCCTTTGGTTGCTCAAGATCATGTCTTGGCTGAGAGAAAGCGTAGAGAAAAGCTCAGCCAGCGATTCGTTGCCCTTTCTGCTCTTATTCCACACCTCAAGAAGGTTACTCATCCATCTTTCTCATTTCTATTCGTTTCTTAGCTTAAGATGATAGGTTACGGTAAAGTTTTCTTCTCACCTGTGAAAGTTGAAAGTAAACCAAGGATCCATAAAGTGACTATCGATATTAATTAGGTAGAAAATGATATTAATTAAAGTAGGTTTAGAAATCCTTCCTAAGTTTCTAACGAATTGAATGACTTTTTGGTAATAGATGGATAAAGCCTCAATTCTTGGGGATGCAATTACATATATCAAGGATCTCCAAGAACGTTTGAGGGTGGCTGACGAACAATTAGCAGCCAAAGCAACTGTGGAATCAGTGGTGTTTGCGAACAGATCATCCGACGATCTTTCAAGTGGTGGCAGCGACGTTTCCTCCGACGAAAACAGCTCCCCGGACCGAGCAATCCCAGACATAGAAGCCAGAGTTTCCGGCAAAGATGTTCTACTGAGGATTCATGGCAAGAGATGCAAAGGGTGTCTTTCAAATATACTAAAAGAGATAGAGAAGCTCAATCTAACGGTTCTCAACAGCAGTGCCTTGCCATTTGGCCATTCTAGGCTTGATATTACTATTATTGCTCAGGTACTTAATTACAATTATAATCTCTCTACCACTTTATTTATAAACTCTTTTTTAATTTGCATTATTATTAATATCTATTGCAGATGGAGGATGATTTCAGTATGACAGTGAAGGAGTTAGTGCAGAAACTAAGACAGGCTTCTCTTGAGTTGTAAAAGTACAAAATTGTCCCAAAAAGTATTCACTTTGTCGTCATAATGGTCTGATTAACTGTTAATTTGCTTCCATTTTCCCCCGCAACATCCTTAATCTGAGAGAAATTTAACAAACGCCTCTGAATCTCCATCAATTCAGCACGAGGGCATTTTTTTCTTCCTTTTGAATCTTTTTTGCGTGGGGCAAATTTTTTGACCACGTTAAGGAAATAAATTGCCCCCATGTGCTGTAAATCAAGCTCAGTTTTTTTTTCCCTCTCCTTTTTAGGGTTAAGCGTTTTTGTAGGAGAATACTTTTGATTCCAGTTTTTTAGGGCTCTTCTCTTTGCAGTCGATCGGATCTAAAATTATTGTAATACTTTGTTTATGCATTAATAAACTTTGTTTCTAAAGGATATTGTTTCAATTAATTATATGGATTTGACAGCTCCAATTGCAACTTAATTAAAACAACTGGGAACAAATCCAGTGGAGTGAGGAAGATGGGGAGACAACCGATGTCCCACTAAGATTACAAGATCTTCGTGTTCTTCATTATTGTCAACGCTGCCATATGTCCATCTATCCAATTTAAATTCCAATTTCGAATGTTTATATTAAAGCAGTTTCAATTATTAATATTGAAATTAGTACTTTATTTTTAAGCATCCAGTTGGTTAATGGTTATCCAAATAATTTTTAGTTTTGACACTATTCCATGATCATTTGGGTCTTTATATTTAATTTCCCAATATAAAAACAAGAATTTGGTAGGAAGTGGTCTAAAGAACAAATCTGCTCTTTCCTTTTTAAGGGAAAGTTTAATGATATAGAATATATATTAATTACATGATGATATATGTTATTCTTTTTTTTTTTTTTGGTCACGTTTGCAAAATGGATTTGATGGTTCATACGAAGGTATGTGGCGCAATTGATGACGATGCTTTAACTTCAATCCAGAAAAAGAACAAGGGAGAAGAAACTAAACTTTCTTAATATGATAATCATAACCATGTGATTAATTATTCATAATATGTTTAATAAATTTGATATTTTTTATCTGATAGAAATTCATCTTTTATTGAAAATAAAAAAAAATCAATAAGAAATACCTTCACCACACAAGTAGGTTCATAAAGTGAAGTATTCAAACTATATATGTATATAAATTTTCAATAAGTTTCCTAAATATTAGTTCACAAATTTTCATTGGGTCAAATATTTGTATCAAATATTCTTAATTAATGGTTGGGTGCACTAGAATGTTTAAAAAATTTTACTGTGATACGTAGTTTGTTGTTTGATGATACGTAGTTTGTTGTTTGACCTATATCTTATTTAGCTCAAATGGCATTATTTGATAACGATTTTACGTTTTGTTTTAGAAATTATTTTTTTATATATGGGCAAATTCACTTAAAATTCTCGAACTGTAATTTTTTTAACACGGTTTCATGTTAATTAAAAATATCTAAAAATAAAAGAATTGAGACGGAACGACATCTTTAATATAATCAAATCTATTAGATAGAGCCAAAAGGAAAATATATAGATAGAATTTAGACATTGGATAATATGATGTGACAATTCTGTGTCTTTTAGTTTTAGCAAAAACCAAATTATATTAAAGTCCTGTTGTGTCAGTGTGTTTCGGGCCTTTTTAAGCATGTGGTGGGTCATCCAATCCAAGAGAAGCCATTGTTTCAATTAACTAGATGTGTTGGTTAAGTACTGTTTCAGAACTAATTAACCAAAGTTTAAACATAGCCAACTAGAGTTAACTATACATCATATTAGATTAAAGAAAAAAGAATTCAAAATTTTCATGTGATTTTGCATCATTGGGCTCATAAAATAGACAAGGAAACAGAAGAATTAACACACATGGGGTTATGGTACATAAAGTCATAATCATAACCTATAATAATTAAATGGGGTGGTGTGTCATATATTTGTTTATTGGTTATGGTTTCCTTCTGCCAAAAAATTCCAAATCCTTTCTGTCAAAAAAAAAAAAAAATGGAAATCGTATGTACATGTGGCAGCTTTAGATTTAATATTCAATTCTACGAATCTGAAGTATCAAAATCGATATCACTTACTCTCCAAGCTTCCATTAAGCATTAATTGATTTCCATCTACAATATAGGGATATGGTTTGATGCATATGCTTCCTTGGGTTTTTTTTTTTAATTATTAAATGATATTTCCAACTCATTTCTCGAGATCGATGACCAAGATTTTATTCAATCATCGAATTTAATGTTGAATAAATGTGAATTGATCATCATAATTCAATCAGAATTCACTAATAATTATATACATCATTCTAATTTTCACATCTCCATAATAATGATAAAGATAATAAAATAAAATCTTTTATCTTATTTATTTTTCATCTCTAGGCATGAGGAAAAATTGTATTCTTTTCCATTGGAAAAAAATTGTATTCTTTTGGATCTCCGTTACGTTGTAGAAAGTTACAATTTTTCTGAGATATTTGTCTTTGAGCAAGATTTGATATATTTCTTTGAAATGTGGATTGAATTCTAAAACATAAACTCCTTTGAAAATATATATATCTGAATCATAAACATTATTTAATTTTCCTTTTCAATTTATTTTTAATTTTTAAAAAAGTAATAAAATAAATAAGTATAAACTATCATTATTAAATTGTTAGGAGTATTGTTTAAAAATTTTAAATTATATAAAGTACGACTAGGTCAAAAATAGTTCTCAGCTATTTAATGTAAAAGATTTACCAATATTATACAAAATCATAATTTTTTTTAATTTTAAAGAATATATAACAAATGATAAAATCCAAAGATCTCCTAATTTAATTGTTAAAATTCCATTTTATATTGTATTATTGTCGTCTCAACTTCATATAAAAATGATTTTGAATATATATTATCCTTATCCGTGCATGGGTCCACTACTGGCAATAAACCCCATCAGATAGATGATCAAACTCCTATATTGAACGATAAATGATTAAACCCCCATTAAAAAAAATTAATATTTTTGTCATATTATAATAATACTTTGCATTCTGTGAGAGTACACAAAAAATATTAAAATATTTACTAAAAAATTATTTATTTTATCCTTTTTCAACTTTTTACATGTAAAAGAAAATGACACTAATACAATACTAATAAATCGATAACCGTACCTGTCACATAATTAGATTTTTCTAATATTTCTAATATGACAAGTACATATCAGACGTTTATCAAAATTATTATTATTATTATTATTTTTGGAGTTATATGTTTATCAAATCCTATGTGTAATTATTCTTATACTTTATCCAGATTATTATATTTTTATTTATCAATATAATAAATCAAACATAAATATTAAGACAAGTTGTTAAGATTTTAACTAGTTAAGTTATACATCAATTCTAGCCTACTATGAGAATAAGATATTTATAATCACCGATTTGATGTCTCCTTGCAAATTTATATGGTTTCCCTTACAACTTTTTGGTAATTATTTTTTAAAATAAGATTTGGTTGTTCTAAACTTTTATTTTTTGTATTTTTTATATTTAGTAACATTTTAGGATACGGTAGCTAAGGATCGGAAGATACTAATTAAAGTTGTGTGAATTATCCTAATTAGACTAACCAGGTGTGTAATGTTTACAAATAATTTATGGAAAAAGAATTTTACCCTCCACAACAAATGCAAATGGAGTTTTATTTTTGACAGGAGACTTTTATTATATCAATATGCAGGCTTTCACTCTTAATAATAAAATGGGATTTGTCTCATTACAAAACAAGAATAAAATCTTTAGTTTAATTGGTTTCATTAGTCTTGAATTATTATATTTAGTTCTTTCTTAAAGTTGAAATTGATATCAACAATATGATAATGTAATTAATTAGGATGAAATGAGGTGGGCAGGCGCTTACGTGGGATGCTGTGATTGGTGAGTCACGTGGGGACCATCCTCGTATTTGCCAGTCCCTAATCCTATAGGACAATGCCCTAACGGCTAACGCTGACGGGTTCCGACCCTCCGAGTTAAGGACTCTGCAGCGCCTTCGTGTCTGGTTCCTCAATTTCCACGTGCCTAAACTCCCACTAATTTAATGGGAGGTTGCCTCCATGTATGAAATAAAGTAAGCTTAGGTGGAAGTTTCTTATTGTTTCAATTAATCTAATGTTCATACTGGTATTAAATATATTCTATAATCTGAATTTTAATCTTGTTCTGTTATAGGTTTTTCTTTTTCCTTCTAATTTTCCATTTATAGCTTTTTAGCTTTGCAGTTAAAAAAAAAACAAATCTATTTATTAAGTTAATCTTTAATTAAGTATTTAATAAAAAATTGTATTCATTTACTTACTCAAAACCTTCCCAATAAAGATAATTTATAACTTTAAACATATATTGTATATGTTGATGTAGGATTTTGAAGGATGCCAACAAATCGGCCTCTTATTCGAGGCAGACGTCTAATCAATCGAGTTGATGACCTACAAATAGAACTTTGTACAAGTATGGTGTTCGCTGCCACATAGACTCGGAAGCTTAAATAGCACTTAGTCCAAACTAGTGTCAATCTGAACTTAGTAAATATTGTGTAAAAATTACTTATCTTTGTGAGTGATGTACCTCTTACATTTTATAGGAGAGGTTTGGAAAATGTTGTCTTGTGATTCCAGTGCTCTCAGTACTCTATTATTTAGAGGATTCAATGTTAGTGGCATCCATGTTTTCAGATCGGCGCCGATGTGGACTTTTCTTAGGTCAATTAGAGGTGATTTTGTCTAGTGCATCTCATCTTCGATCTGTTTGAATTGAGACCTGAACACATGTTTTCTAGTGAGAGGGTCACCTGACATGTCATGCTTTTAAATAATTTCTAACAAATTATTGCAAAAATAAAACAAACTTTTATGCAAAGTTGGGAACTAAATCAAAATATTTAAAAGGTAAAACAGAATAAACATGATTTTAATCCAGGGTTTTAAACCAATGTGATTTTAATCCTTTAATTTTTTAGCTCCTAATTCTGAAAAGAGATATCTGAAATTGAAGAGGGTATTATAGTAAATAAAAATATATTTCCTTCCACGAAATGAACAAAATTTCTCAAAGTACACTCACATTCACACCCCACACGAAAAATGTGGGGTGTAGTAAGAAGGTTGGTGGGTGAATTATGTTGACGATCGAGTCTACCTCATCAGATTTAATTTGTGGCAGTTACTCAAAATTGAAATAAAATAAATCCGACGGTTTGCAAACAAGGACCCGAGGTTTTACAAAATTGCACAATTATGAATAAAGTAACATTTGTTAAAGAAAGAGCCGAAACGTGACGGAATTCACAGATCCATTGACCAAAATTCGAACCCGAAAGTTGACTCTACCACTCTTTTCACACGTGCGACATTCACAAAAACCGTGTTCTTTAGCCCTATAAATCTTCCAACTTTTGGCTCTTTCTCACAATCAACAATATTCCAATTCATCCTTTTTTTTGCTTTATAATCTAATTCAGTTCAGTGCTGTGATGGAGTCGATCTCATCAGCGAGATGGATATCTGAATGGGTAATTACCAAATTTACTCATAAATAAAAATGTTACATTTAACATTTTATTTAATTCACTCAACTTTTCTTCTAATGGGGGTTTTTGATTTTTTAGGAAATGGAGGAGACTGCCTTCATCGATGAAATTCAGATAGACCCTTTTGAATTTTCGTTCGATGAGTTCAAATTTGAGCAGAGTGACGGGGCGGGGACGGTGACGGCGACGGCGGCTGAGATTTATGATTATGGACCGTCGGCGGTGGTGGAGGAGAGGCCGGCAAAGCAGTTGAAGGTGGCCGCCGCCGACGGCGCCCATTGCCAAATATTTGCTCCAACTCCAAAGGCTGATTCGTCATCCTCCTCCTCCCATATAATTTGCTTCCAAAGTTCGAATTCCAAATCTAGCACTGTCGTCGAACCCAAGCTCGAGATGGACTTTGAATCCGACAGAAATTTAAATTTTTCGTCGCTGATTTCAGAGAGTAGTTGGAAAGAGAATAATCGGTACTGTTGGAGCAGAAATGGGCAGGGAACCAAAAGGGCTGCTTCTGGTTCTATGAATAGAAATCCTTTACATGCTCGAGAACATGTCATAGCTGAGAGAAAGCGCAGAGAGAAGCTCAGCCAAAGATTCATTGCTCTTTCAGCTCTCATCCCTGGCCTCAACAAGGTATATTTCTTAATCATCATTAAATCGGATACCATTTTAAATTTGATCAATCAAATAACAATGAACTCAAAAAATTTAATTCATTTATAAATATATAACAATAGTAATATTAATTCATCAACAAATACACAATTTTTATAGTCGAACAGTTAGTTAAGGCCAGGTGTCTTATTCGTAGGAGGTTAAATTCCATATTCATGTTTGTGGTGCCGAGAAGAAAAAAAAAAGACAACATTTTTATATGGTAAAACTTTGTTTCTATTGGTGGTTCTAAATTTGGATGTTTTTTTTTTTTTTTTGGGTGACAGATAGACAAAGCTTCTATCCTGGGCGGAGCAGTGAGATATGTGAAAGAGCTTCAAGAGCGGCTGAAGGAGGCGGAGGAACGAGCATCCAAAATATCGGAGGAAGCTGCCACGGTGTACGTGAAGAGATCCAGCCTGTCATGTTCCGACGATGACGTGTCATCGTCGGAGGAGAACACAGATTCCAGCGGAGGGCCAGTTCCGGAGATAGAAGCGAGGGTCTCAAACAAGGATGTTCTCTTAAGAATCCACACCCATAAACGCAAAGGTTGTCTCTCGTATTTGCACAACAAAATAGAGAACCTTAATTTGACAATCCTCAACAGTACTGCCTTGCCTTTTGCCCATTCTCAGCTCCATATAACCATTGTCGCTCAGGTAATTTAATTTATTAACACTTTTTTATTCCATTTCAGACCATTTTTTGATTTTCTTCGGCTTTTTAATTTTATTTATTGTTGAATTTTAATGCGCAGATGGATATTGGATTTTGCATGTCAATGGAGGATGTTGTGAAGAATCTAAGACAGGCTCTGCTGGAATTCATCTAATTACATCGCAAAATTAGGCAATAATCCTTTGTTTTTGTTTTTGTTTAAGATTGAGATTTGAATTTTTCTTTCCTTTTTCTTCCCCTTTTTGCCCTTTTTTTCTCGGGCCTGTAATTAATTAATTACCACCCATTTCAGAGGGGTAACATTTTTTTTAGAGGTTTTTCACTTTTATGTGTCACCTCTTTCTTCTAGATCCCTTTTTTCCCTCTGCCAAAAATGGGGTTCCTTTGTTTCTGTAATTGCAGGCGGTTTCTCTCTTGCTAGGGTTTAGGTTTGGTTTTTGGAGGGCCATTTGTGTCTCTGTAATGTCGGATTTTAAAGATGTAATGTTTTTTTCTCCTTTTAAGGAATATTTTATTTTATACTTCTAAAATAAATAATATCTGTATGGTTTTGTTTTATATGGGATGTGACATCTAATTATTTACTAATTAATAATTTAACAAGTCAAGTCATATTTCAGCATTATTGAAGAAACAAAGAGTATGGGCGTGTGTGTGTTCATATGAATGGGAACGTATTCTTGCCGAAATGAATGTTGCAGTTGGAAAACGTATGTATTTATATAAGGAGAAAATTAAATAGGTTGTTGAGCATCACAATATATTATTGAAACAATTAAATTTGTCGTATTTGATTTAATTACTTTTTCTAGAAAAATAAAGTTCAATTCAATTCAATTAGTTTAATTTTTTGAGATGTCCAAAAGTATTTACTCTATGTTTCTATATTTTAGTTCAACACAGAGAAGTTTAGATTAACTTTTTGTTTAAATTTATAGTATTTACCCATAGCGGGAATTGTTATACCAATGGACTAAATGAAACTTTCAGAAATATATATATGATCAATTTTTTTTCTTTTTTTTTTATCATTACAATATTGTAATAATGTGAGCGGAAATTTGAAATCTACAATGACATTAAGAAGGTACCGTTGAAATAATTTAATCTTAAAATTGGAGAATTATATTATAAAATATGATTATATTATTGATAAGCAAGAATTTAAGACAGCCATTGGCCCACCAAAGATTATGTGATCCTCGTGATATTCTGAGGCCAGGATTATGTGATCTTAAACAGTATGGCCACACCATGCTGGCTTAGAAATTGATCAACTACTTTCTACACATTTTTATATACCCATTTGTCTCCTAGCTATAGGTTACATGATCTATCTCAAGTTTAAGTGTATGTGTTTATATATATCTATATAAATATAAATAGGTATTTAAATAAGTTAATATTAAAAATAAATATAAATAAAAAAAATTGAATATTTTATGTTTAATTCTAATTTTACTCCAGAAAAGACAAATTGATTTGGTGATATCTTAAATGAATCATAACAAAGAAATATTTCATGATACAAATTCCATGTATGGATAAACACATTTCTTTTCTACAATATAATTAATTTGTACAAGCTTTGAACAAAGAAGGAAACTAGGTATAGCTGCCTAAAATTCTATATGAAAAATTGAAAAATAAGTCAATATTTTTAGATGTGTTCTAAAAGACCATATAATATACTTTTGGGAAATTGGGGTGGACAGCATTTCTTTTACAATTTTCAAATACAGTAAAAATTTTCACTTATATCAGTAGTATATCAGATACTCATATCAATAGTATATCATTAATACATTAGATATATATCACATACATATATCAGTAGTCATATATATTATAAATATATTATATATGTATATCATTTGAGAAAGTTGTCATTTTAAAATTAGACCTCCATTCTTTTTAAGTGCTATATTTGAAAAAACTAAATATAGTTGCTATTTTGCTAATTTTATTAAATGTTTTTGTCATATCTGTCACTGTCCCTATATTTTTTTTTATAAATCTATATAAAAATACGACAATTTAAAAGAAAGATAATTTTTTCACCACTGATCATTTGTTATTTTTATTTCAAACTAAACTCTTTTTATTTAATAATATCTTTTCAAAGTTGGAATATTAAAAAATTTTGAATAGATGAACTGTTGAAGATAGAAAGAAATAATTTATAATTGCATGTGAACCCCAAAAGCAAAAATAATCATAATAATAATAAATAAGAACATATTATTGAAATGTTAGAAATAGAAACAAAAAACCATTATGATAGGATAAGAAATTGCCCAAGTAAAAGAGGATGTTTTGTCATATATATTCTCATTCAGCGATCATTGAAATGTCTAGTCTTTCTTTTTCTTTTTTAAAATTTGCCAAAAGGAAAAAGGAAAAATGAGAGATGTAGAATATAAAGACTTAAAAGAGTCCATTATTGATTGAAACCTCAACCTTTCACATTAATTTTGATTTAGAATTTGACCATTTTTTGGTGGGTGGGTGAATGGTGATCCCATTTTATTGGAGCGAGACTAGTACTCTATGGTGACTAAAAATTGCCCAAACTTTTCACATCATTATAGGAAAAAAATCTCTGGTTTTTAATTATAAAAAATACAATGATAAAAAATCAAAACCGAATTAACAATTTATCGAATTAACCATTTACACTAGTACGTGTTTATAGACATTTTCGAAACATTTTCTTTAGACTATTCTTAGATTTAAATTTTTACCAACTAGTTCCATTTTGGACACACGACGATTAAAGAACGAAATTTGTTATTAAATCAGGGTTGTTTATTGTAGCTCAGCAGAAATGAAGCAAAAGTTGATTTTTGGGAGCTGAAGTTTGAAAAGTGAGAGAGCTTATATGTGAGTATATGCAAAAATAAATTACCTACAAATTTTTGTGCAAACTTTGAAATTGGGTCCAACTTTTTTTTTTTTTCCTTTTATTTTGGGTCCAAAAATAAGTATTTCAGATGCTTTAAAACATAAAACAACTCTTTTCCCAAAAAATCAATAGAAGCAAGTAGGTCTAAGGATCCCTCAAACTTTGAAACTGTTATTAGTGTTAGTTTTTAATAAAATATTTTGTCTCTGTTAATTACTATGTATATGTATAATTGTATATTGAAGGCCGACGAATTGGAATTGCACTGGCGTTGGGCTTGAGAATTACGAGTTGGCCCAACAAAATCTTATTGGGCCTCTGTGAGGTGGAAGTAGGAAATCTCCCTTGAAATGACAAGAAAAACTTTTCTTTTCTCCATTTTAACTTGTACTCCCCATCCTAAATTCAATTATCTCCCATCTCTGATCTTTTTACCATCGTCATAAATATTTTTCTTAACTTTGTTTTACTCATCATTAATAAAAAAAATAGTAATAAATTAATTTATAAAATTGATACTGTGAAAATCAGAAATTATATAATGTTAAAAAGAAAAGAAAATTTCCAATTTAGGCGCGCGACGTGTCCGAATCGGTAGTGTAGTGTAGAGCTTGGCCAGAGGAAGCACCCGACGGCGTAGCGATCGGCCGTTGCCGTCCATAATTCGCGTTCAGTGTTCAACAATAACGGATTTCTGTTATTTCTTGATCCATGGCGATGGGAGAGATAATGAACACAACTAACCGCCGGACCAAAATGAACTCCCTAATTTTATATCCCCTCCGAAGGAATCAGGGTTCGAGAAACACCAGCCATGACCATGCGGAAGGAGGTTGTAGTGGCGGCGTTGGCCACAACGGCCACTCTGGTAGTGGCGGCCGCCGCGCTCAGGAAGTGGAAGCGGAGAAAAGAATGGCAGTTGAAGCAAGCGCACCGCATTCTGCGCAAATTCGCCAGGGACTGCCCGACCCCAGTCCCGAAGCTGTGGCAGATCGCCGACGATTTGGAATCCGATATGCGAGCTTCGCTTAAATCTAATGTAGCCAATGGCAATGGCACTCTCAAAATGCTCGTCTCCTACGCCGGCGCTTTCCCCAATGGGTACTGTTTTGTTTGCTGCCATTGTCTTTTCGAGATGCATTGTGATAGGTAGTGCTAATGACTTTCGTTTTAATGTTTTAATTTGCGTGGCAGCGATGAGGAAGGTTTCTATTATGGGGTAAACTTGCGGGGAACTAATTTCTTGATTTTGTGCGCTCGGCTTGGTGGAAAGAACGCGCCAATCTCTGATATTCACCGGGAGGAGATTTCAATCCCTTCCAATGTGATGAATGGTAATTCTGAGGTTCGTTTTCCTATTTCAGCTTTTGGTACTGAATCGTGATTTAATTGCACCCCACCTCAGGAATTAGAATTTGAGAACTCCCTTTTATCCAAATTCGCCGCAAGGTTTTATCTGAATTTTTTGGGGAACAGGATTTGTTCGACTTCATTGCTGGGGAGGTTGCAAAATTCGTTTCAGCACATCCAGAGAATGGAGATGTACCGGTGAAGAGGAAGGAGCTGGGTTTTACATTATCATATCCAGTGGACGATGCAGCGGCCTCATTGGGAAATGTAATCAAATGGAATAGTTTCTCTGCTGATGACACAGTTAAGTATAATCATTCCCATCTCTCTGGAATCTCTCGCGTATATAGATTACGGGCCATACTTAATTATTTTTATGGGACAACAATAGTTTATGATGATCATTCAGATTGAGGTTATTGCTATGCGCACATTTTAAATCTTACTGTTAATCTATGGATGGAATGTGATGAATGAAGATCTCCCTACTTGGCTGAAACCTTATAATATAGTGGTGAACTCAGGTTGGAATGAACATGGTGAAAAACATCAATAAGGCTTTGGATAAACATGGTGTGAACCTACGTGTCTTTGCAATGGTATGCAGCTTCTTTATGCAGTCCATTTTTGGATTTTAAATGTTCTTGTTAGCTGGAACGGAAATGCTGCATATATTAAGCAAAAGTTCCATTTAAAAAAACTAGTTACGATATTTCCCGAGCAGGTGGATGACACCGTTGGGAATTTAGCTGGAGGTAGATACTACTGCAGAGACAGTGTGGCTGCTATAACCTTAGGCATGGGCACGAATGCTGCTTATATAGAATCTGCAAAAGAACTTGCTCATATAAGTGGATCATCACCAAAGTCAAGTGAGATGGTTAGTTAGATTAGTCGATAATTAATTGGTTTTGCAACTTGAAGATCAGTCTAATTATGTTCTTATATCGCAGGGAATCAGCATGGAGTGGGGAAACTTCTGTTCATCGCACCTTCCAATAACTGAGTTTGATTCTTGTCTGGATTCTGAAAGTCTGAAGCCTGGTACTCGGGTATGGCAGATTGTTGATTGAAATAACAACTTTTAGTTGTGGTTAAAGTCATTGTAGATTGGCTAACAAATCTTCGCTTTATCTCAGGTATTCCAAAAGTTGATATCAGGAACCTATTTGGGAGAGATTGTGAGAAGAGTCCTGGTAAAAATAGCACAAGAAACAGCACTATTTGGGGATTCCGTTCCTCCGAAACTTATGACTCCTTATCTATTAAGGTATTGACATATCTTTCTGTAAAATTGCAATTCAACAGTTATATAATAGCTAAAGTCATTGTTTAGAAAACAATGCAAAAGAGGGATAACTGAGGATCTCTCTGTCCTAAAACTGAATTCAGCTAGCTATATCGGTGTGATTACACTGGACCAAATTTTGTTTACTATATTTTTGTGATTGCATCTTAAGAGGAGAAAATACCAAATCGTGGTTGTGGCAACCATTGACAATGTGTCTTATATTGATTTTGTTATAGGTCACCTGATATGGCTGCAATGCATCAGGATACATCAGAAGATCGAGAACTAGTCAACGAAAAGCTGAAAGAAATTTTTGGGGTGAGGATAATTTAAGCATTGAACAATGAACAACTTTTTCCCTCCCACATGGATCAGATCACTAACTCCTTTTAGACCCTTAGTTTCACTTGGTCGGGACAGAACTTAAGAAACTCCGTCACCCCATCAGCATACAATCGGGCTGATGTGGTCTTTTCCCTTTCAGATTTATATCCAATAAGTCCTACTACAAGCCAAATTAATGTCTACTTGATATCAAAGCATGCATTAACTTGTCTTGCTCACTGGTTTATGTATTTTCTGTCAATGCAAGATTACTAATTCTACTCCAATGGCAAGAGAAATTGTTGCTGAGGTGTGCGACATCGTCTCAGAACGTGCAGCCCGTCTGGCAGGAGCCGGCATTGTGGGGATCATAAAGAAACTGGGTAGAATTGAAAACAAGAGAAACATAGTAACAGTGGAAGGAGGGCTTTATGAGCACTACAGAGTATTTAGAAACTATCTGAATAGTAGCATATGGGAAATGCTGGGCAATGAACTCTCAGACAACGTGATAGTGGAGCATTCTCATGGTGGGTCTGGCGCTGGAGCTGTGTTTCTTGCTTCATCCCAGAAAGAAAACCCGGATTCCTATTCCTAATCTTCGAACATTTCAACATTTCACTTGTAAGCATATATATATATATAGAATTTAGTTAACTCAAGGGGAGCAGTTCAATATTTACCATTAGAGTTCCCTCTTTTCTAGTATAGAATATGCATCCTAAACAATCTGGAATGTGTGTGTGTCTGAATTGAGGAGGCGGGCCAGGAAATTTAAGGGTGGTGGTCCAAGGAAGCAGACAAAGTGATAAGGGGGAAGTTGAAAGACATGGGTATGCGAGGACATAAAAAGCAATGTGCAATGTGCAATGTGCAATGTGCAGGCAGAGGGCGATGCACATGGTGAAGGTGAAGGCGAAGGACAGGGCCAGGGGTAAATCTAATAGCTTAAACTTGGAGAAACGGATTTCAAGTGTCGTTTACCTGAAAGCAAAAGCAAAATTTTGAGTTTTGTTTTGTTGTGTGAGAAATGAGAAGGTGAATTCAGAGGGCAGGCCACAGAGAGAGAGTGAGAGTGAAAGGGAGGGGACAAAATGTACACAGCCCAAGACATAAAGAATAGCAAACTGAGATAACGTGTTTTGTGGTGTGAAATTATAATGCGAGAAGAGCTTTGGATTATGGGTTTTTTTTGTTTTGCTTTCTTCTCATGCAATTCAAAAGGGAGGAGGGGGTATTGGGATTTTGATTTTGATTTTGATTTGTGAAATTGAATATTGAAGATCTCTATCTGTACCCCATCTCTCCTCACTCCTGTGTTTGTTTGTTTTATTAAATATTATATTCCCTCCTCCTTCAACTGAGTTGAACTCGGAACGGAACGGCTTAACGACCCGGAATTCGGAATCTGCACCTAACCCTCATAAATTTGGTCAAACATCCCATCTCCATCCATCCTCCACATTTCTATTTTAGTTCTCATCATACATCTTAAGTTAATATAAATTCGAGCTTAGGATGCCAAAATCAAGTAATTAATTTACTAATATCGATTTCTACTCTTGATTTATTTTAATACAAAAATAAAATATGCCAATGTCAAAGCAGTAATTTATTTTAAAATTTCATGAAATCTCATCCTACTAGTTTTAAAAAAATTACGAAAAATTAGGATTTGAGGTTCCAACGGCACATGACCGTCTTGTAAAGTGATTCTCATCGAAGAGTGTGTGGAATCTTTCGCAAGCTTTCGAATGTAGTCCATGAAATGAGTTCTTCTATATCATTCTTGTAAGATAAAGTGAACCGTTGTACAAGTATGGAGGGATATATAAGAAACTTTTTTTTTTTTTTGTGTTATAATTTTTTTTTATATTAAAGGGTTGGGACAAAGCATCTAGACTTAAATAAGAGGTGACAAAGTAATCTTACTACCACGATCAATTGAAGTTCAACTCGATCCATTTGAAATTTGCCATCTTTGTAATAACTTAAAATCCTAAATAATTAAAAAAACATCCTATTGAAAAAGAGATAAAGAAAAACGAATGTCATTGAATGAAAATTTAATATGGGGTGTGGAAATTACGGTTAAGGACGTGGAATCCGAATGACCTTTTTGTTACGGTAGGAAATGAAGGTGTCTGTAAACCCAACATTAGAGGGAATTCATATATTGAATGATGTCGGATTCTCAATTCCCATAGATCTCCATCAATCATCATTTTACATTTTTCTTCCCCCTCCCCAAAAAATAATAATAACAATAATAAATAACCTTCACCGATTTCTTTTATCCGACGGGGATCGAACTCACAATCTCTTAATTGAAGAGATATGTCAATTACGTACGGCTGAACTATGCTCACCTTGATAAAATAACTTTCGTCCATTATAGTAACTGTTACTTATTCCTTTATTAATATTCGGAATTTAATTCCTATTCCAATAAGTATAAACTAAATCAAATTTCAAAGATGACATGCCTTATACCTTACACATCAACAAGAGAGTTTTGGTTGTTAAATCTGTTTTCTTTGAGTCTTATTTATCTCAAACTCTCCTTCTATCAAAATTCTATTTTTATCATAATTCTCCTACAAACTCAACAATATTCAAAACACCTCCCTCTACGAATAAGAATCTTAGAGAAACAAAATTATTCATGATATACATATAACGAAATTCTACTAATTAAACTCTAGAAATGCGATTAAAAAAAAGAAGATGGAAGATTGAGAAAGGGATATGATATCATGGGTAAATCGGAATTTAGAAAAGGAAAGGGCAACAGTATGTGGTCGTTTTCTTCGTCCTGAAAACTGCAAAAGAGAAGGACTGGTTCGTCATTTTTGGTATTTTATAAATTTTTAGAATATTGGGGGACCAATCTGGGTCGGCTTTGTCGGCTTGCGATGTCCCGTAAGGCTCTACAGTTGGGTTTAGGGTGACCCGGCCCTTGTGGCTTCTAGTTGTAGGGTATGGGGACGGAGGGTAAAAGAGTAATTTAAGTGGGGTGGAATAAATAAATTAATTAATTAATAAATAATAATGAAGAATTGAGAGAGAGTGGTGTAGTGGGAGACACAGAAATTGGATTGAGCGACAATAACCCGTCTCGTGGTCTGTTAACAAAAAACATGGTTTGTGTTTTACTTTGACCAACCTTATCCGTAAAACACACAAACCCACCACTATTATTACCCTGTTTCATTATAACTCATCACTTTTACAGTTTACTTTTTCTTTCTTGGAAAAAAGCTAGAGGTATGTTGTAAGGAAAAAAAAAAAAAAAGATGTGGGTTAGAAATGAAAAAATAAAATAAACAAAGGGATCTGTCAGAAATACTCTAATAACATATAAATCAACAAAAACAGATAAATAGGTTGCAAAATACAACATAAGTTAAGAATTTCACGTATAAAAGATAACAGATCTAACAAATAATTATAACGACATACATTAATCGAGTTTGAGATGAAACTACGTAAATCTTACGGTATTAGAGCAAAAAGGCTCAAACAACACTTTATAGATCAAGTGTTAATGGTTGGAATCTAGAACGAAAGTTATCTCGTCAAACAGTAATACGAACATAAATCATGTTTTCTTCAAATGTGAGATATAGAGACGGGTAAGCAATCCTCCATACTCTCCTTCTCTTTTACTACCATGTAAAATACTCTTTTTTTATTCTAATTTTATTACTTTACCTTAATTTCAGTTTCGTTGCTACGATTTTGACATATTTTTTTGTTGTTGTCATTAACGTAGATGAGTAATAAAAATACAATGATGTGAATTATTTTGGAGATGTAGTAGATGGACTTCCTAATGTGATATTGGGAAATTAAACTACATAACATAAATTTAATAACAACACTTTTTCTTTTAATATAACATCGTTTTATATTAGTACACTTGGATTTTATTTAGATGGTGCTGAGTTTTGTACCATTTCAATCTTTTGCTATATTGGAAAATACAGTTACTCTAATTTTTACCAATTAAAAAAAAAAACTAAATTTCAAAATAGATTTGATTAGGGAAAGATATATCCCAAAGTGCTGTTTTTTAATTTGCTTTCATGAAAATTAGAAAAAATATAACATTCTTAAAGTCATAAGAAAAATTTGAAAGATAAGACCCGTTGGTTTTCCATTCTAAAAAATTAAGCCTATAAACACCATCTTCGTTTCCATGTTTTTTTTTCTACTCTTGAAAAATGGTTTCAAAATCTAAACCAAAATTTATATTTATTTTCCATTATGATTTTGGCAAAGAATTCAATGTAATTTAAAAAAAGATTAAAAGATATATAAATAAATGGTAAGAAACCACACATAGTTTTTAAACAAAAAAAAAAAAAATGAAACGGAACTATTATCTAGCTGGGATAAATTTATTTATCACAAAATTGGTATGATATTGGGTCTTTAACTTCTCATTTGATTCTTCAATAAAAAAAAGTGGGGGTCAATCTAATAACTATTTTGTTTTAAAGTTTCCATTTTAATATATTAAATTTAGAAATATTATGTCTCCTGTGTTTCTTTGGTCTGTTATATAGTTTGTTTAAATATAAGAATTGGTTAAGAAAATAATTTTATTATATGTTTAAGAGCGGTGAAAACTTATCAATAATTGTACAGTAGAAAGTTAAAAATGAGCTACATGGTAAAACAGAGAAAAAAAAAACTGGCGAACAAGTTTAGTTTTGAAAAATACGTTAGACTTATTGCTTGGACTGTAGTCATATCATATCATATAATGAGTTAAAACTTAAAAAGTAGGTCACAGACGGTAGCAGTAACCAAAAAGTCGTTCAAACTCTCAAAAAGTTCGGCGTCTTTCCAATACTGCTTCACAATTTCCTACCATGATATCAATTTATCTTTTAATAATCATTTCAATTTATTTCCCACCTTAAAGAATAGCTTATTATTATTATTATTATTATTATTATTTTAAATGTTATACAAGTTTTAAGAAACCAATAACAATAATAATCTAATTAAATTAGATATCACATGCATTCTTCTTTGACGAGAATATAATATATCCTTTTAAGAAATCAAATTAAAGTATATAATTGAGTTGAGAAATGAGGTGAGAAGAAAAAGAAAAATAGGAGAATGTCCCGGAAGAAAATGCCGTTAATGATTAAGGTGTTTTAATGCTTAACAACTCTGATTTAAGAAAAATCAATAAAATAATAAATAAATAAACTCAACCAACCAACTCCACTAATTTTATTTTTACCCACTCGTTGGAAAGGAGATGGAAGATATCATACAATCCAAATAAAGCAATTATTGCCAAAATCAGGAGCTTCATTAGTCTACTCTACCTCTTTAAGCATGTTTTACAACTTCACTTTCTAATTTGCGATCTAATATTAAATAAAATACTCATTTATTTATTATTCTTTTTCTTTTAAATAAGTTCTCCAGCTGAGATCAAATTTAGCTTATATAAAGCGTAACAAAATCCTCTCGATTTTATTATTTTTTCTAAGCAATTATTTCAAATTTACGTACTGGGCTCCAAATTAACTATAATTAGCAGCATAGAAAACATAAATAAACAAAATTCATTCAAAACTAAAGACATGCCTACAATAATTATTTGTTTGTTTTTAATTCAACCGATTCAAACTTTTGACTTTTTGATCAAGACTATAACATCTTAATTAATTGAGCTATCAAATATTTTGGATTCACGATTTTTTAGTCAAACATAATATCAGTTATTATCAAATTAAATTCATGTTGACATGGATGTTTGATTAATTACTAAAAGAATACGGGTGAGCAGTGATACCTTCTATCAGACCCATCTTAGCATTTAATGATATAATTTTTTTGAGTTCAGTATTTAATAACTTCTCTAGACCATGGAGCTACTAATATCGTGTATATATATATATATATATTAAGATACGAAGTATAAAGTCAAAAAGCTTTTAAATTTAGAAGGAAAAGAAAAAAAAAAAATCAAATGTAAAATGTGCGACATGATTCGCTTTATTGAGGTCCCCCCTTCCCCTTCCCCTTCCCCTTCCCCTTCTTCTCACTGAGACTGAGCTTCCCTCTCCTCTCTCCACTTAAAAACAAACTCTGCAAATTTTTGCAGAAATCAAGATCAGCGACCGAGAAATCCAACTCCAAAATTCAAAAATGCGTCTCCTCCTCCTCCTCTGTCTCCTCCAACTCCACATTCACCATTCCTTCTCCGCTCGAGTTCCCGAATACCAAGCCCTTCTCAACCTCAGAACCTCCATTACCGCCGACCCCAAATCCTCCCTCTCCTCCTGGAACGCCTCCACCGCCCACTGTTCTTGGTTTGGGGTTACTTGCGATTTTCGCCGCCACGTCACTGCCCTCGACCTCTCCGGCCTCAGCCTCGCCGGTTCTCTTTCCCCTGATGTTGCCCACCTTCGCTTCCTCGCTAATCTCTCCCTCGCTCTCAACGACTTCTCCGGTCCTATCCCGCCGGAGATTTCTTCAATCTCTACTCTCCGCTACCTCAATCTGTCGAATAATGTGTTCGATGGGTCCTTCCCTTCGCGGCTTTCGCAGCTACAGAATCTGCAGGTTCTTGACTTGTATAACAACAATATGACCGGGGATTTCCCCATTGTGGTCACCGAAATGTTGAGCCTCCGCCATTTGCACCTTGGGGGGAATTTCTTCGCCGGCCGGATCCCGCCCGAGGTCGGTCGGATGGAGGCCTTGGAGTACTTGGCGGTTTCTGGTAACGAACTTAGTGGCCCAATACCGCCTGAGATCGGAAACTTGACGAACCTTCGGGAGCTCTACATTGGCTACTTCAACGCCTACGACGGCGGTATTCCGGCTGAGATTGGGAACTTGTCGGAGTTGGTTCGGTTGGACGCTGCCAACTGTGGACTGTCTGGCCGGATTCCTCCGAAGCTCGGAAAGCTGCAAAACCTGGATACGCTGTTTCTTCAAGTCAATGCGCTATCTGGGCCATTGACGCCGGAGATTGGAGGCTTGAGAAGCTTGAAATCTTTGGATTTGTCGAACAATGTGCTTGTGGGCGAGATTCCTGATTCATTCGCCGAGCTCAAGAACTTGACGCTGTTGAATCTGTTTAGAAACAAGCTCCACGGGGCGATTCCCTCATTTATTGGCGACTTGCCAAAACTGGAGGTGTTGCAGTTATGGGAGAATAATTTCACGGAATCGATTCCACAGAACCTGGGCAAAAACGGAATGCTTCAGATTTTGGATCTTTCTTCGAACAAGCTCACCGGAACTCTTCCTCCGGATATGTGCTACGGTAATCGGCTTCAGACTTTAATCGCATTGAGCAATTTCTTGTTTGGTCCAATCCCAGAATCGCTAGGCAAATGCGTTTCGCTTAATCGCATTCGTATGGGGGAGAATTTTCTCAATGGATCCATTCCAAAGGGCCTTCTGAGTCTGCCGAAGCTCTCTCAGGTCGAATTACAGGACAATTTCCTCTCCGGAGAGTTCCCAATAACCGACTCTATCTCAGTAAATCTCGGCCAAATCAGTCTCTCCAACAACCGCCTCTCCGGGTCGATTCCGCCGACAATCGGCAACTTCTCCGGCGTCCAGAAACTACTCCTCGACGGAAACAAATTCTCCGGTCAAATCCCACCCGAAATTGGGAGGTTACAGCAGCTTTCGAAGATCGATTTCAGCAACAACAAGCTGTCGGGTTCAATCGCACCGGAGATTAGCCAATGCAAGCTTCTGACCTTCGTCGATCTCAGCCGAAACGAGCTCTCAGGAGACATCCCAAACGAAATCACCAGTATGAGGATATTGAATTACCTTAACCTCTCAAAAAACCACTTAATCGGCGGAATCCCTGCTTCCATAGCCAGTATGCAGAGTTTAACCTCTGTGGATTTCTCATACAACAACCTCTCTGGCTTAGTCCCAGGAAGTGGGCAATTCAGCTACTTCAATTACACATCGTTTTTGGGCAATCCAGACCTGTGCGGCCCATATTTAGGACCTTGCAAAGATGGGGTTTCCAATAGCAATTACCAACAACATGTAAAGGGCCCCCTCTCTGCTTCCCTTAAACTCCTCCTTGTTATTGGTCTGCTCCTCTGCTCTATAGCATTTGCCGTTGCCGCCATTATTAAAGCTCGATCGCTAAAGCGAGCCAGCGAGTCCCGGGCTTGGAAATTAACATCTTTCCAGCGCCTAGATTTTACAGTAGACGATGTTCTCGATTGCTTGAAGGAGGATAACATTATTGGAAAAGGAGGCGCTGGAATTGTCTACAAAGGGGCGATGCCAAGCGGCGACCAGGTCGCCGTGAAAAGGCTGCCCGCGATGAGCCGTGGGTCGTCCCACGACCATGGATTCAACGCTGAGATTCAAACTCTTGGCAGGATTCGGCACCGGCACATCGTGAGGTTACTGGGTTTTTGTTCAAACCATGAGACCAATCTTCTGATATACGAGTATATGCCTAATGGGAGCTTGGGGGAAGTTCTTCATGGCAAAAAGGGAGGTCACTTGCAGTGGGATACAAGATATAAGATAGCAATTGAAGCAGCTAAAGGGCTTTGTTATCTTCACCATGATTGCTCTCCACTGATTGTTCATCGAGATGTGAAATCAAATAATATCCTTCTAGACACTAATTTTGAAGCTCATGTTGCTGATTTTGGCCTGGCCAAGTTCTTGCAGGATTCCGGCACATCTGAGTGCATGTCTGCCATCGCTGGTTCTTATGGATATATTGCCCCAGGTATGATTCAAAGCTTTAAATTTTCTCTGTCAATGTCAACCTTCTTCCAAATATTATTAAATTATAACATCAGAGGACTCGAGTCTTACGTACGTTTTAACTCTTATTTTAAAGTGTTTTAGCTTTATTTGTCTGTCCCTTGAATATATGAATATGATCTATAGTTTGACTGGGAGCTTGATTTTAAGAGAAGAAGTTGGCTCAAGTTCTGTGCCATGAAAACATCAGTGGTGATCGCTGGTCAGGTCTGCAAGGACATGAATGATAATGTTTTTGACTGCATACTACTACTGAGTGACAACCCTCTCTTCAACATGTAATCTATTATTGGTTGCTTCCCATTTCAAAACAGTGTTGAAAGTTGTAAATGTAATTCCAAAGTCCAAAGTAGGATGATCAATGGTGTGAAATTGTTAGTTTTCTGGAAGGAAACATTCGATGGTTCTGATTCTTTGAGATTTTTGTCTGGCCTTTTTCTTCCTTTCAGAATACGCCTACACGCTCAAGGTTGATGAGAAGAGCGACGTGTATAGCTTCGGGGTTGTCCTCTTGGAGCTTGTTAGCGGAAGGAAGCCCGTTGGGGAATTCGGAGACGGTGTCGACATAGTTCAATGGGTTAGAAAAATGACAGACTCAAACAAGGAAGAGGTAGTGAAAATCCTCGACCCAAGGCTCTCCTCCGTCCCTCTTCACGAAGTGATGCATGTCTTCTACGTCGCTATGCTGTGCGTCGAAGAACAGGCGGTGGAGCGCCCGACAATGCGGGAAGTAATCCAAATCCTATCGGAGATTCCGCAGCCACCGTGTTCAAAACAGGGAGACCCAACACTCACCAACTCACCCCCGCCACCAGCAGCAGCAGCCGCCGTATTAGAGCCTCCAACAACAGGAACCAAGAACACAAAAGACCAGCAGCAGCAGCCACCACCGGATCTCCTTAGCATCTGAACAACAACTTAGTTGGGGTTGGTAGTGTCTATCATTAAAAAGGAAAAAGATTCCAAACAAGTAAGCTTGGGCTCTTGTACCTGCGATGTCGTTTCTTTTCTTTGGGTGGGATTAGGTTTAGTTTTTTTCTTTAATGTTATGGTCGTAATGTTCAAAGGTTTCTTTTTTGTTTTAATTTCATGTACAGTTGACCAGTTGGGAATATTGGGGGGTATTTTCCTGTGAGATTGTTTTCTTTTTTTTAAAAAAAAAAATGTTGAAGCTTTTGCACCATTTTCTTCATCTTCTTCTGACTGATTGAACAACTTTTGGGAGTGTTGGACAGTAAAAAAAGCAGAGGTCTGGAGTGAAGAAAACAGTTCACTCAATTTTGTTTGCTTTCGGCTAAGGAAATTTGAAATTGAAGCAAAAAAAAAAGGTTTGAGCTGGATTTGGACCCTACACTAGAGGATTGCCACATGTTATTGTATATAATGCCAAATGACCAAGATATTGCGAGTCTTTTCAATATTTATGGTGTCTTGTTCTTGTATTAGTTGCTGCTCTTTCATGTTACTTTTCTCACACTCCATGTCCAAAAAAAATAATAAAAAAAAGTAGTTTGCGCATAATTCATAAATTTTTAAAAAACCGAGTTTTGTTGGTTGAATCATTTTCAATCCTGTCAAATATTTAGTTTACTAAATACATCATATAATAATGAACAGGTAAAGTTCATTGTGTGGGTTAATTTAGACTTTAAACTTATAATTTCAACCCTTAAAATTTTGAATTTGAATAAGCAATGCGATTTATACTCCTTCAAAAACTAAATTAAAAATTACTCATGGACCAACCAATAAATCATACAAAATTAAACTAACAAATACTAAAAATTATGTAAAGAAATACACAAACTGGATCGTGAAAATACACGAACTTAACCACGAGCCACCCACTTAAATTTAGAGAGGTAAATTGAAGTTTTCCCTAATGAAAAAGTTTGTAAAATTGTATGCTAGTATGGATCCATCATATATTATAATACAAAGAGATAAAAGTGATATTAAAACCCTATAATTTGAGTGAGATATATTATAAATATTTGAAAACTTGGGAACAAACAGGGTTGTAAGTTTTGTTTTGTTTTTTTTTTTTTTTTAATTTTAATTTTTGAGATGTAATAATTGAGATGTGGATGTGGTATGGAGATATAAAAGTGGGAGGGGGGTATGCAATAAAAAAGAGGACATTAATTTTTCGTTATTTTCTCCGACAGAGGAAATCGAGAAAGGTACATAAAGTGTGTCAGAAAATGGTGGGGGTGGAAAAGCCAATGCAAAATTTCGGTAATTCTGTGGGGGCAATTTACCAAATCTAAGTACACCAAAAAAAAAAAAACAAAAAAACAAATAAATAAATCCTTTAACAAACAAAATGACAAATTTCCCCATCCATCTCCTCCTTTCATATTATATATCAACTCTTTCTTCTCTATTTATCCCATTATAAAGGCGGAGGATCGATATCAAAGGCTAACAAGTTGGCCTCTTTTGTAGTACTGTTGTGTTTATTTTCTAAGAATGAAAATTAGTGAACGAGAATTATCAACCTCACATCTACCAGTAATTTGAAAATTGACCCAGATATTTGATAGCAACTCAAAAACACTTTAAAGGAATAAAGGGATCTGGTTTGATATTGAATTTATTTTCACGCATCAATTTATTGAACTTTTACTATTGATCACTCAAATTACTTGACAAACATTATAATAGCATTAGGAAACTTTTGGGATGTTGAATTTTAACTCATGTTTGAAATGTCATCAATATCGAAAGAAATGTCGATGTTTTGATTTTCCGGAAAAGATCATGAAAATCATAAAAATCTACCTAAATTATTTAAATGAGTAAATAAGACTTTAGTGATGGGTCAATTAAGTTATAGTGTACTTTTTGTAGTAATTATATATCTAAAAGTATAAGTAAAAAATATCAATGTCAATCACATTTTCGTTAGAAATTATAACTAAACATGCATGTAAACCTAAGTAATATTTAATAAAGATATCAAATCTCAACATATGACAAATGATTGTTAAAAGAAATAAATTCATAATATTTAAATTTAGATAAATATCACAAACTTAACACACTACGGAAAACACGGTTTTATTAATTTAAAATTTTTCATTTATTGGAAAAGGGATAAATTATTGTTTTATAAAGGGATGAAAATAATTGGATCACCGAATACCAAATCTGTTCACAGTAGATGGTGATTCAAAAGCAAAGAATAATTCTTTAAAAAGTAAAAAATAATTCATAATTTGAGGTTGAAATAAGGTAACTTAACTTGAAGGGAAACACACAAGAGACCACAATGTATGGCTCAAAACCATAAATAATGAATTCTCCAATTTGATTTGTTTTTGAAACTTGCACGAATAAGAAATGGCCTTAAAATGACAAACAACTTTAAGACAAAAAGAAAAACTCTACAAATATAGTTGAAAATCAAAACCCTGCCTTTATTTTGATTGTGTTTCTGCTTTCTTCAGTTCAGACTTGAGAGTTGCTTTTCTTATCCTCATTTACTTGTGATTTTGCCAAACATGGCACATACCATTTTCCAACCTTTTTAATTTTAGGAAATAGCTTCAAAATTTTATGCAATTACTTTTTAAATTGTGGGTTTTTTTTTTTAATGGGCCTCGAAAATCGCATTAGGCTAAAAGGGAAAATGAAGTGATGGTTGAATACGAAGCAAATCACATGGGAGCGATGTGTCACGTTGCCATCTCATTATTTCCAATGGCATAACATTAAATGCCCAAAACCCTAAAAAGGGTTTTCAGTTGTGGCCTTTGCCTGTGGGACTCCCACTTCAAAATACAAACTTCATTCATAAAATTTCTAACTAAATATTATTTTAGTTGGATTCTGTTAACGTAGGATCTTCTAGAATAAACGAGATTGATGAGACCTGTAAAAAAAAATGGTACTAAATAATTATGTGAATCTTGCCACACATGCTCTGATGCTAAGTCAGAATCGGAATAGTGTAGAGACTTGTAGCGTATCTTTAGACTTTGGTTTACCTCCCTATTTATAGAAGTTAAATCCTAATCCTAAGTTGAATCCCTATTCATAGGCCTCATGTTCAATCAAGGGTCGGCCACTCGACACCGAAGCCTGGTCGGCTATGGACGACCCGGGTCATCGGGTTTCGACCTTCTTACCTGGTGCCGTGATCTGTTCCTCTTTCGGCCCAACTTCTATGTTTGTTTAATCTGATCTTGTTTTATCTTCCTATAATATATTCTACACCCCAGAAAAGTTGGTTTTAGTTTCTTAATTTTTAAAGTTAAGATCATTTTAGTGTTTGTAGTTTAAAATTTTTTTTTTGTTCCTCTGTTTCTAAAAAGTTGCTAAAATAGATATTTTTTTATAATAAGGAGGTATGATATATTGATACTTAATCAAGTTAAAATTAAGCGTAATAAAATATTTTTAAATGGAATAGATGTACCACGTAAACATAGTTCAATAAATTTTGATATTATTTAATTAACTCCTTAAAAGTTGGTGATTTGAATCCTTCTACTATATTGTTGTAATATTTTATTACAACATAAATGTCATGGTTAAACAACTTCAATTTAAGTGGAGTTTACGAACAATATTATTAGTTTCAACTCATGATGAAAATTATGGTAAATTTAATTGAAAGATGCAAACTCTTTAAAACTTTGGAAAAACATCCAGATTAAAAATGTAATTTAACATAATATTGTTTTAGAAAGGAAAATTTGCAAGTTGAATTGATGAGTTTAGAAGGAAATTGGACAAAGATAGGATTATTCGTTCTTGAATTGAAGAAACAATCTCTTCACAAAATGGCAAATGACATTAGAAATTGATTTTTTTAGTACTTGAAATTGATCGTTGTTTATTTAGAAATGGAAGGATTCTTATGCGACCAATTAAGGAATGGTTAAAATTTTAAATATTTTTCAAGAAATATGCGTGTTTTGTCTTCATCACATTTGAAAGCAACCCATGTACTACAAAAAATAATGTTAAGGAAAAAATAAAGCAACCCAGGTAAGGTTCATTATTAACCATTTGGTTATATTTTCTTCAAGATTAAACCAATGATAATTTCTTTTCCATTCTCTATTTTTTAAAATTATACTTATTTATTAACAAATTATTTTTCCCATTTCNTATGTTATAAAATAAAAATAAAACTATTAGTAAACACTCCCAAATTTTAAAAATAAAAATAAGTATTCCAATTAGTATAGAGAGGTTAACCATGGTTAAATCTCCTAAATAGTGTGATTATGGAATATTTATTGGTCATAGGATGCCCGTCCAACGAATTAAACTATTCATACATTATATCAATTATATATATTTTTCTTTTTTATAAACAATTTTATTTTTCCCCTTTCAGTCAAAGACACTAAAAGGGACCCAAAGTAAAAGACATGAACAGAAAAAATATCCTTTCTTGAAAATGAAATATTTGTTGTTTTCGTATAATTATCAAAGGAGAATGTTAATCAAACATGAAAGTGAAAGACAGATCAACCTACATTTTTGTCAAAAGGGACTAAATTCAGACCATTTTGCATATAAAAATTTCTTTGATTGATTTATAATTTTAAATATTGATTGAGGTGGTTTTGATGACAATTATTTAGTTTTTAGTTATTTACTTTCATATAAAAAGTTTGTTTTTTCATAATGTTTTAAAATTATTTTACCTACTCTTAGAAAATAGTTTTAAAATCCAATTCAAAGTTTAAACGTTAATCTTGTTTAATATTGGTTTTACTTTTCATACTACTTTGTTTTCCAACCTACTTTTTAGAAATATATTAAAATCATATCCAAATTTCATAAATAGTAGTTTTTAGAAATATCTTATTTCTTTGAATTTAGGTAGGATTTCAAAAGTATTTACAAAAAATAATTTTTTCTAGAAAAGCAATAAATTAGACAGTAAATAAGCTAAAATTTTAAAATCAACAAAATTATTAGATCCTAAATATAGTTTTGAAAGATTTATTTTATTTTTTAAATTTGACTGTAAATTCAAACATATTTTAAAAAGGTGATAAACATTTACTTAACCAAACCAAATTTATAAAACTAAAAATAAAATCACTATTTATAATTTTTAAAAAAAAAAACAAATCACTATTTAAACTAGACTAGAGTTAATGCATATTTATTTCTCTATTGAGATTAGCATACATATAATAATTATAATAAATGATC